GGGGGGGGGGGGGGAGGAGGCGGCGGAAACAGTCGAAGGTGTAGTTTTAACGCTGGGGAGATTCTCCTAACGGAAAGAAAAGCGGGGTGCGCCACACATGAAAGGGAACGAGGGGCAGGCGGAGGAGCGGGCCGAGGGAGAAGGGTTGTGAACGCGTTCGCAGTGCCGCTCCTCATATCCGCTAAGGCCATGCCTTCCACGGCGGCGGGTTAACACTGTACCCTAATGCTTTGATACATACTTCGAAGTACATCACAGCAAAACGGCGGGCGAGGATCGGATAGTGTTCCGAATAAAACCCGATGTGCATTGCCACCGTCTGGTACGCTGCAACGTAGCTGGAGCTCTCCGCGTCCTTTACTCAAGTCTGAAAACAATCTTCACCTATGCATACGAAAACAAGTATGTATGCAAAAACCACCTCTCCTGGTAGTTGCTTGGCAATGTCTGCACAAGACACAGCTCTCCCACAATGAACAATAAACCGGTCGCCCCGGTGGTCTAGTGGCAACCTCGTCATCCGCTGGTTGCAGAGGTTGTGAGTTCGAATCCCTATGGGGTGAACAATTAACGGAATGTGCGGGGGTGAAAGCGAAATATGGTTGACAAGCTTTCGTGAGTACCAAACTTCGACGTTAGCACCGTTGACGGGGGAAAGGGAAGGCTGGACCCTTCTCGCGATAAAAGCAAAACTCAGCACGCCGCGCAGGAGGAAGGTGGGGCATGAAAAGAAATAAAAAGAAGAAAAAAGCCCTGGTGTTTACCCCCTCCTGTGTGACCCTGGATGGTTGTTGTTTGAAAAAATGCAGTGAAAAGTGTAGTACTATATCACCATACCCTGAAAGTGTAGTAAACGTCTCACCACAAAAATGGGGGGACTGTCGCCATAATTAATAGAACGNACACACACACACACACACACACACACACACACACACACACACACACACACACACACACACACACACACACACACACACACACACACACACACACACACACACACACACACACACACACACACACACACACACACACACACACACACACACACACACACACACACACACACACACACACACACACACACACACACACACACACACACACACAATAGGCAAGCCTTCCTCTCTGGCTTCGCCAAAAAAACTTTTATTTTTTGTTTATCCGTACCTGGCAGTCCTTTACGACTTGTGCGAGGACATCGGGGGGTGACAGGGCCTCCGCCAAAGCTGTGGGGGCGCTGCGGAAGTCGAACGACAAGTTCCCCGCGAAAGGCACGCGGCCTTCAGGATCCAGAAAAAACTGCCAGCGCGTGGGGTCGGGGGGCAGAGGGGGGGCGTACTCTTATGTTTTGCAGGCCTTAGCGGTTAGACCATTGACCACGCGTCCTCGAGAGGACGGAGCATTGTTCCCACAGGACCGATCACCGATGGCCAATCGTTCCTTTCTACTTTGCCAAAGGTGGCCCAAAAATGTCTTCCCTAGTCTGTCTATCCTAACGATATCCCTTCCCGCCTTTTCAACCCACCTCCTATGCCCCACTACAGCTACCGTCCGTTCCTCTCTATTCCATGCCTCAAACATCTCCCTGTACGTTTTATCTATTTTTCCCAGCTCAGTCACGTACACTTCCCTCTCCTTCTTGTACAACGGACATTCCGCGACCACATGAACACGGTCTTCGCATTCGAAGCCGCAATCACATTTGAACTTGTCGTCTTCGTCGTCTACCGTTATGTCGTCGACGTTCTCGAAGGCCTATGTCCCGGGTCCTGAATTTGACCTTAAGCTTTGTTCCTGCATCCACTGGTCCATGTAGGTAATCCTTGGACTCTATTCCTTCCTTCAACATTCCGCACACTTCTAGACCCTCCTTATCCTTGGTTTCTTCCTTTAGATTATGTTCTCTCTCGGCACAAGCAACAGATATCTTCTCCTTGAATCCGTTTAGACCCTCCGTTTCCAGCGTGTCATCTTCGTCGATGTCGACCCCCTTCCATATGTCCTCTTCAACCTGGACCCTTTCCGTGGGTTGTCTACCCCTCTTTTTGTTTGCCCACTTCGCCTCCTACACTATTATCGGCAACCTCTCCTCTCCCATCCCGCACATGCGATACTGCCATGTCAGCTTCCTCGCGTCTCTTCCCGACCGTAGGGATTGGATCCCCAATTCTGCCCTCACGGCTGCATTACTTGTGCGC